TAAATAAAATAATTGGCAAACCAGTTCCTCTAGAGGCTTTACTATGTTTTTTACTGTCAGCGTGAGCTTGAATGAAAAACGCTTCTGAGCAACTGCCAAGACTGAAGAAGTCTGACATGGGAGTGTAAGTTCAGGCACAGCAGTATTTGTGGTAACATATGAGAAAACCAATACCATGTATAACAACGACTGGAGTCCTTTTTTAATTGTTTTTCTGCAAAGCTTATTAACAGATAGGAGCACTATATATGCTACAATTTCTTCAGTCTGTTAATTTCTTCTCTTATCTCTGTTTTTACCTGGATTACTCCCTTTCGGCTCCCCACCCACCACAATTATTTTTCTTTTCTCCCCATACCACTTTCCATTCTGCTACAGTTCTCCCACTAATCATAAATTGATGAGGATGAAAAAACAAAGGGCATTTAATTTATAGTATCATCCAAAACCATGCTGAGAAAACCAGGAGAGGAAGCTTCAGCAAGACTGCCTCTTATTAGCATAGACAAGTAGGAGAGAAGAAAGGAAGACAGTAAACTCAAAGTGGCCAAATGTCACTGTAGAGTCATTGCTACGTTTACTGTGAAAGCATCTATGAGAATTTCCCCAATCCATGTCTGTCCTTCCTTATGGCATAGGCTAACATTCAGAAGCAGTACCAAGCTTCAGAAAGTAGGTAGACCTTGAAGCTGTGCACAGTCCTCTGCACTACATACAGTCAAGATGTTTGTAAAATGCTTTCTGCAGGTATTAGAGAAAAATTCTGGATGGGTGTTTCCACAGTAAACATAGTGTCTGTGCGTCAACAGACATAAACCAATTTTCCTATTAGGTATTTTGCTATTTTAGAAGTTTATTAAATTTAATAATAGTTTATTACATTTCACCTTAGACATCAGCACCAAAAACTTGTTTACAGGATTGGTTTGAATGACAGTTCTAAACCACATATGATAGGATTCCTTGAGGGGGATCTGAATTTCAAAACTGAATAAAAGAAACAAATGAAGAGCACTGACCGGGTCAATAAAGACACATAAAAAATGAAATCTCACACAGTCAACTATTTTTTTGTATCAATTTTTTCAAGTATTTCAGCTAAAACTTCTAACTACAGTAGATATTAGTAAAGTCATAAAAGTAACATAGACCTAGTGAAATATGCTAAAATAATAGTTGTGATGTCTGGATCCACACTACTTTGAGATAAATTTAAAAAAAAAAAAAAGTATATTACATATAAACTGTCTCTATCCATCTGAAAGCATCAGCTTACTGCAGCACACATTAGTATATACCTATGGTCGCAACACAGCCACACTTCGGAAAGTACTTGTGCTAGGATTAGTAACAGAGTTCATTGGAAGGTATACAGTATGAAATCAGTTTCTAGAGCACATAAAACAAAATATTTAACAATATGTTCCTTATTTAGACACTTTCCACCAGACAACAGAAGGTGATTTCATGTTAGAGCAATACAGATGATGCTGTATCATCATAAGGAGAATGAAAAGGGGAAAGAAAACAAACCACCCCATACATATAACCGTCTGATCAGGGGAGTAACAGCCCTATTTTCACTTGTGAGCAGTGATGGGCTTTTTATCTGTAATTCAAAATAAATTATTCTCAATTATTGTAGCTTTAGAACACCAATTTTGGTGGCATTAACTTTTCTGTAACTTACTGGTCTATTAACCAGAAACAAGACCAAATTATCTCATAAAAGAATGAAATAGCATTTTAAATGTTCCATTTTAATTGTTGGCTCTCACTCTTTCAGAAATACACAGGCATTACCAATGGAAAGGATATCTCAGGTTAGGCAATCTATCATACGAGAGAGTTTATGAAGTATAATGAAGAACAGAAACAAATTACATCAACAGAAGTAGGTAAGACTGTGTAAATATAAAGACAAAATAAAAAAAAACCCAAACCTGAAATCCATTACTCATAAGAACAATGACAAAAATTCAGCCTTATATACCCCACAGAGCACAATGGAGATGTGCCAGAAGTAATCTGGAACAGTGTTCCTGACCTAAGTACCTACCTATCACAAAAAAGAAAAAAAATATATAAAATTGGACTTTTCGTCTTCTCTCTGCAGATGAATTTAGAGGAAATACATCTATCACTGTATAACTTTAAGATTTTTCTAGAAAATGAAAATGGTTTGCTCTCTGCCTCCTATCAAACAGGAATATCAAAGAGTGACTGAACTAATTCACTGGGTGATGCAAGGATTCCAGCAGAGTCCACATCCCAGATGGTGCTCACCTACAGGCAGTACAGACGACTGACGAAAGAGATGGCAGAAATCAGGAAAGGAAGATTTCAGACAGATTAGATCTTACAGCCACAATGAAGACAACAGCATGGCTGCAAATGCCATAGAAAAATTTAGGATGACACAGAGATTAGGAATGTAGCCAAAAGGGAAAGAGACTTTTTCCTCCTTCAGAGGAAAATTAAGAGGACTCTGTTGGCCATGTTAATTAAGAAAAAAACATCTTCCACTCCTCATACATTTACTTGCAATTTAAATTCTTTGAGGTATATTTCTCAGAGATTAATGGATGAGGGACTATCCTCAATGCTGTAAGAAGCTTAGGTGTATAAACTTTCCTTACTTCAAGCATAGAAGACACAGAAGACTTTCTAACTCACTACCTTTCTTATAATGAATATTTTGAATACAAAGAAATTATGCAAAATATTATATGTATTACAATTAATGTGTACATTATTTATATCTATACCCTCATTTCTTAAATTGATTTTAAAGTGGTTACTCCATTTATATACCATGAATCAAAATTAAAATGTTGAAACAAAACTCTTCCTTTTATGCTTGTTACACCACAAAATGATATGCAAAATTACCAAACAGCAGTGGATTGTGGACTCATAGTAATACATTTCAACCAAAATATATGAATGATTTATATCTATTTCATTATTTAAATTAGTTGGTTAATGATGCGTGTATACTAAATTTCTTTATCCATAATCCAACACTGCATAGTTTAATGCTAGCCAGAAGACAACCGCTTGTTCTCTCCTACATCCTTGCAAACAACTGCTTGTTCTCTCCTCAGAACTATGTAAGGAAGGTTTGATAGCTGTTCCTAAATCTTAATCACATTGTATTTATAGGAGATATCTACAACCAACAGGTCAGATCCATCCAACCTTGATGTTATTTTCCTTACAGATGATGTTTCCAGTTGGTATGTTCAACTGTTAAAAATTAACTGAGGTATATAATAATGAAATAGAATTCTTATGCTCACCTTTTTATCATAGATACCCTCATAACTTCTATGAAATAGCTGTAGTGGTTAAGTAGTTGCTGCAAAGACAGTTTGGATCCAAAGTTCAGTCACACAAAGACAGGTGTGTGAAACAGCTGGCCAGGCTGTCCAGAACTGTTGCTACCTGTGTGCTCTGTGGCACAAGGAATGAAATGCTTCAAATATTGACATGACCTGCAAGGATTCTTTTCTTAGGCAAAATAACTTATTTTTAATCCTGAAAAAGATGTGGAAACATACATATGGCCTGGGGAAGACTACTTCTGTGCAGCACTGCATCATGTGCAAAGCTGCCAAAATATAACCAGATCCAAAGAGCTGCCCAACCTGATGACCAAAACCTCTCTCAGTTTTAAAAGTAATACAGTCCCTTCTCAGTGGATTGAATGTATTCAAGGCAAATCAGGATATTTTGGCCTGTGATGGCCTGAAAGATGATGAGTAAGGTCAGAGGGACTTGTTCTAGGCAGTCCATATTGGCCTTGCTGGGCTACAACTGATCCTTTTCATCACTAAACAGATGAATCAGTCTTCTGCAAAAGATCCTGAACTTTCTTGACACCAACTTCCCTTCCTCAGCAACCTCAAAGTCTCAGTATCTTTCTAGGTTATCCCATTGAGACCACGAGCGTCTTATGTAAAATGGACTATATTTTTTTTCAGACAGTGGAACTGCCTATTACAACTGTTACTTACAAGCATTTTATTATACATTGTGGTTCAAATACGAAAGCCAAAGAACAGTGTATTTGCATCAGAGTGTTATTTATTTCTAAATAACAGATTTAGAAAAAAAAAATTCAGAATAGCTTGAATAGGAGTGAAATTGCTCTTAAAACCAGCAATTTGTCAACTCCAGACTCTCGGAGAACTAGAATACCCTGGATAGTGGAACTAACCCTGGATAGTGGAACTATTTGGTTAACCTGTGGGCTATTGGGAGCTGTGTGAAACAGTGCATTTATAACTCGATAAACCACTTACAAAGAATTGAGGCTGGTGGTGGCTTTTTTGCCCCTTCAACAATGGGATACATAGTAAAGTATTAATTTTTATATAGATTCAATTACTAGGCAAATAATATTACATTTAACCATTTTTTAATTAAGGAAAACTATCAAATTAACTGTGTGTGTTTTTTTTTTTTTTCCCCAAAGATCCTAGAAACCAGGAAACCTAACAAAATATCACCTGCATTAGGATGTATGCTCAGACACGTGTGTTAAAGAGTATATTGACAGTATCGCAATGAACTTAAAGCTTATAGGTTCTGCTTCTACAAACTCTCTCATCACCTTTTGCAGCTTGTTTCTGGATAAAATGTACTATTAAGGTTTGTGGGGTTTTTAATTTCAATATCCTAGAACTAAACTACTTGATTGTTTCTAACATAGAAATACAATACTCTTTCAAATCAATGCTGTATCAGTTATCATGAAATACACTGCCTAAGTATATTGTGATGGAATAGTTTTACCCCTTATGATTACTCCTTATTCCTACCTCCAAAAACCAAACAATACTTTAACCTAGTAGTTAATCATATTATTCTGGGAGGAAAAAAAAATTTAAAATAAGCCAAAGCTCAACAATGCTTTAGAATTAAAAAACCCCTGAATCCATTATTTTATAATGACTGGTAAAAATAAAAAGCATTTTACAAATTAAGTATCTTACCTTTTCGTCCAGGGTATACATGAGGATAATATTCATAATAAAGATCAGGCTGGTCTAAATTTCCAAATGGTTCAAATTCCATTTCTGCATTTTGGAATAGATTCAATTTTACCAGCAGTGCTAGTCTCACAAACCACAGCTAAAAATTAATACGTATAAAAGAAGGAAAAAACAAAGTCTGTTATTAGCTTCAATCACAAGCCACATCCAAATACAATTTCAACTTTCTAAGTTTTTCTGATAAAGAATTTCTGTGTTACTTACTGATAAGAATCAGGATGTATGTTTATATGCAGTTTTGCAGAATACTTTTTATAAGATCATTAAAACAAAACATGGAGGACTGATGTTTTAACCGTTTGTAAAGGTATCAGGATTTTGAAGATGAAGTTTAAAAACTAGCCTACTGCAAAATTAGAACATCTCTGTTGAAATTGAGCTAACATGTAAGAATTATCAAATGATTTTTAATTATTTTTCCAATTTTATGCAATTCTTAAAATCTGTTGATTTTTGTGAGATTCTATGAGCTTTATAGTTACTAGAGCCAGAAGCACGTGCTGTCATCTGGTCACATTTTGTTCAGTCAAACATTTGTTATGTTTCACAAACCTTTATTAATTTGGGTTCTTATTTTCTTACTATTATGAAACATACTTCTAACATTCGAAATCTACTATAAAGTTCAAAATCTAGATATTGTCCATGAACTTTAGCACAATGAGTCTTCCAAGATAGCAAAACACATTCCTTTTTACTAGTGATTACCTTCAAAAGCATACAATCAAGAAATAATTTTACTTTAAAAAAAAAAATTGTTTTAAATGAAGAACTACTTGTAATCAAACATAAAAAGTGACTTGCTACAATGCTTTAATAAGCTCAGTTTTTTTGTAACAATTAGCAAAAGTTGTTTGATCATGTTATAAAAAATCCCAGTGAATACTGTTGGAAAACAAGGGTGTATCTTTAAACATACCTGTAAAGAATCTGTTGTATGGTTAGTTGGTAGCCCACTTTTTTTATAGCCTTGACCATGTGCAGTGAGGAGCCGCCCACAGAAGTCAACTGCTGCCCTCCAGTTTTTACTGCTCTGGGAAGAAGAAAAGAGTAAGTAGCAAAATCATAAAGTCCCTAAAATGCACAACTGCTTATTTTGCCTGAAGCAGCTACATGTACCCATCAGTAATAATGACAAGGTCAGGAAAGCTGGCCAGTGAGAAGCAGTATGTCATTTGTCAAAGCTGCACATCTAATTAGGCAAGAAGTGAAATCAAGCATTAATACTATCAGAACGCTAAAACAAAATAATATACAACACCATATGGGATTCTAAACTTAAAGCTGTATCATGTTTGCTAATATACTTGAATAAATAGTCACAATTTTGGTTTGTCCTCAAAAGGATAAAAATGCCAACCACATTTCAGTAATTACACCCAAGTTACTCTACTGTTACAAAGTACTTAATGCCTACTCCCTACCTCACTGACTTCAGTATTTCAGATTATAACCCCTAGTGCTGTTCATTTAATGAAAATAGACTTTCCTAACATTGCCCAGGACACAGAATTCCTATCAATAAAGAACAAAGGACAAGAAACAATACCATGCATAAAATGATTGAACAGTAACAATTGTTTCACCCATAAAATATAAACACCTGAATTTCCACTACATGTCTAACTTCAAAATATTATTAAATATTTATTAATAAACCAAATCATTACTAATTAGACAAGTCAAACCATCTTGTCACACTGTCATTCTATTAATGTTTCTGCCTTGTATATGCTAATGCAGCCATGTAAATAGCTAACACCAGCAAAAACTTAAAACACAGACTAACGCTTCACAGGTTTTAAGCTATCATACTTTTCTCTCATATAGAAATTTTTCCAGAGACATGTATCCAGCAGGTTATTATAAAACATATGCATCTTGTTTTTGAAAGTGATTTTTAAAAAATAGTTTCTTAAATACATACAAAAAATAATAAATGAAATAGAAAACTCATGTTGTCTGATGAAATGTAAAGAAGTAGAATGTATCTATACTGGTGCTTGCAAAGTTCAGGTACTGACCTTGAATTGGTATTATATTAAATTCTCTCCAATGGTTAGAGTTTAGAAAACATGTCAATGCACCAGTTACACAAAAAAACTAGTAGTAACAGCTGAAGAGTTTTCATACTCTCTGGCCCCCATTTTGCAGCCTCACAGTTCAAAGGCTCATTCCAGACATCACCATGCACTGACCACCTCATCTCTCTCTGCCCTGCATTGTCAAGTCCCAGATAAAAATTTGAGTTCCACTGAAAATGAAAAAGTTGGCTGACAGCAAGACTACAGAGCAGCATAGAAGCTTCTGTGACATCTAGGCTCTTATGGAAGAGTGGGAATTGATAATGCATTTATAATATCCTTCAACATTTATCTGTATCAACTTAGAAAAACAAAAAGACACACTGACATGGATTACCTGAAATTTATTCCTCTTTTGCAGACACTAATTTCTTATTATCCTTAGAACAGAAGTGGATACAGACTCTAAAACCACTCAACTTTTCTTCCCAAATGAGAGTTAGGATACAAAAATAATAATGGAACAATGACAAACTTAGGTGCTACAATTTTAAAAATTCTATTTCAGGCATGGACAAAACCCACTTTTTCTATACAGAACACGACAGCCAGGGGAAGCAAGTCTGACAACCACCGTAAAAAGTCTTTTCTGGAAAATGAAACATGATATTTATGATTTTAAAATTAGAGCTGCCTGCTGGTCATGGAGCTTAATTCACTGTGGAAGCTTAATAGAAGGCTGCTGGCAGTATAACTTAATTTGAAATTAGCAGGACACATTATTGTCTCTGGCCAACTGTACAAGACTTACAGTTGCCAGAGTTGCCAGTCCACCAGAAATCTTTATCCAATTATTTCAAACACCCCTCAGAACCTTGTAGTTCAACCACTTTCACATTTCCTGTGGTCTACAGCCACACAGTCCTAACAACCCGTGTCCCTTGTTCCTGAAAGTACTAGGGATGAATTTTGTTTGTAAGTCATAAGTAGAGGCTTAAAGCAAATATGGCTACTACAGCTTCAGATATAGCGTTAAAAATACTGATGGATAATGTCAAAGAATAATTATTCTGTAATGATCAGGACATGATTGTCCAGCAGCAATTGTATGAAATAATTATTTTCTCCTACAGAAATACTGTCAACCTAATATTATTGCCAAATAGTTCACTAATGCAGGACCAGCCTGGCAGAAGAGAACTTCTCTCCACACATGACATCAGCAAATCTTTATTTCCACAAAAAGTATGGAGCTGTTCTTTTAATGGAAGAAACAAGACTATGGTTTCTGTGCTTTTTACACACTACTAGTCCAGATGTGTAACTTGTGAAGGGATTTTTTTGGTCCCTATATAACATAACCAAAAATTAAGAAAAAAAAATTTCAGTACTGACTGTTGTACACACACAAAAGCCAGGACAAGGAGATTAGTCATCCAATAGACAAAGCAATTGCATTATTCCTTGCAGAAGTTCTCTGGTTTTTGCAAAATCAGAACAGGTCCTGGGGGAGATTTACATACAGATGGGGAACTGCATAGTAAAATGGGTTTCAAATAAAAAGGGTTTATATCTTTCCTTAAGATAGACAGACAGCCCAATAATTTTTTGTCTTTCACTGAACGTCTTAAGATGTCTGAGATTTGAATACAATGACTCTAGGTTTAAATCAAAAAAGTAGAGTAATACGAGGATTCTGTCAGGCTATTACCCTGTAGAGGTAAGAACGAAAAGTTTTATGTAGCTTGAGGTGATAGACTTGTGTGTTAGAGCCCCCCTCCACGCCCACTCTTCTCCCCCTTCAATGACAGCTCACCTGGCACACAAATCTGACATGCCTTTTTTGGAACAAATACAGTATATTATCTTACTGCTTCTTTTGATTGCAGTTCCAACCTAATCAAATACAGTATCTGCAGCTTTAAGAGATAAAAACTACAGTGTAAGGTGATCAACACTCAACTCCTCATTTTACCGACTTGCATTCCACCATTTTAAAAATAAGAACCAAGACAAGGCTATGATGATCCCCTATTATTAAAGCAATAAAAGGAAACAGCCTAAAAACCATCTGAAATGGAGTCAACAATACAAGTTATAAATTCTGATAAATCCACATCTAAAGATCTGGTAATGCTTCTAGTCCATTTGGTCAAAGTTAAAAGAAGCAGATTCTCTCTACATCCCAATGCCTTCAATAAGCCTATTTTCTACAAAGAGGGATGAAGGAATGGGATGTAGGGTAGAAAAGAATTCCAGTGAATAACACTAGAATGTTATTAGTTCAAAGACAAGAATAGCACTGAAGATGTGATATTTTTTAGATTCAGAATTGAAGAAAACTACCAATTGACTAAAATGTCCCAATACAAGCCAAAACTGCAGTCTGTATGAAAAAACATTTTTTACATTTCTTTCTTTTCTAATAAAGTGTCATAATAACTTTAATTATCAGTTTTCACTATGTCTGAAAGACTGCATTTTCATTCTTTTCTGAAGGTATTCAGATTTGGACTGAAAGGAATACTACCGAATAGCTGAATACCACTGTCTCATATATATAACTATTCCTTGGAAGTCTCCCCATGCAGGTCAATTTTGCTTGATTTTTTAAATTACTGTTGAACAATGATCTTAGACATATGATTGCAGAAGTGTTCGTATTTCTCCTTTGTATACAATACTGTACACTGTCTCCCTGAATGAAACCAGTGAATCTCGGATGATGAAACAAATAGTGCTAATACCCAGGTGGAATTCTTCTGTCAAGCAGAGTCATGCAGACTGGACATCTACAGAAAACGTGTTCAGTAGAGAGGGAACTCACCTGATACATGAAGACAATTTATAACATTATTCAGTCTCTCAGGAAAACAATTCTGACTCAGAGGTAAGCCACTGAAATTTTATCCAATAAACTGATGCTTTTTAGTGTAGAAATGCAACCTCTCCCACAAGCCTCCAGTTACTGTTTGTGTTACTTTTGTCTCACATCTTCTCTCAAATCAGCTACAAAAACGTTGGAGATTGTTCACTGATTTAGAAATAAAGAAATAAAAATACCCCTTGGTATTTTTAAGGATAATTTCTAACTTATTAAAGTGAATATGTATGCTATACTACTGTATCCAAGTTTTTTATATTTGAAAATATATGTAAGAGCACAACATTGATCACGTGCAAAAGTAACAGTATATGATTTTTTCAAAAAAAAAAGACACAAAGGGAGTCATTAACTCTACATGTAACACCATTAAAGTGATTAAAATGTCCTCCTCCACTAGCTATGACATTCTTCTCCCCTGTAAATTACATTGGTAGAGCACTTCCACATCAGTTAAGAAAATGTAGTTAGTAACCCTTTCCTGGTCTAGTAGCTTGAAGAAATGATTGCATACTTAGAGTAAACATTGCATTTTCACAGTGACAAGACACAGTAGTCTTCTTTTAAGTATGACAACTATCGAAGACATAATTTTCCTATCGCTACAAACAACTTACAACTCAAAATATCAGAAAGGTCTCTAGCGAGAAATACTGTGCTCTTTGTTCAAATGAGAGTAAACAATCTAAAATGTGGAATAACAGGAGCTAACATAATTGCAGCTTCAACCTTGTATGTATAATTTTTATTTCCTGTTGTAAAACAACAAAGCAACTTTGAAGATAAGCTCTTGCTTACATTTATTTGCTTTAGAGGTAAATAAATATTCCTATACCAGATTAATAATTTTTTTCAGAAACTGAAAACTCTGATTTTCTGTTTTCAGTTGAAAAATATAAACACTTATCCTCTACAGATGTGTAACTATTTAAAATTATCACCTCAATGATAAACACATTTATGGAATTACTTTGCTAGACCACTCCAGCACTCCTATCTCTCTTAAAAGCCTCAAAGTTGTAGAACTAGCAACTGCACAACCTGTGCACCATTATCCTACAAGTAAAGCATTTCCAATCCACTGTTACCCATTCCATAGCAGAAATTGAAAATGTGAAACTACAGTCGTTCAATAAACCATTTATTCATCTTTGAGTTACTGGTACAAATCTCACTCAAATCAACGAGAGACCGACTTCATGCTGAACAAACAATTTTGATAGTTGAGTTTAACAAGTTCAGCTCCTGCTGAACAACTATTAGTCTTAGAAATGATGCTGCTGTTGGTGGTCTCCTCAGAAAAGGTGCACCTTTAGAAGTTCAGCTTACTACCTTCTTGATAACATTTGTTTTCTGACAATTAATAGTACCTGAGGAAACTTCTGCAGACTGTTTGCACTATGATCCCCCAAAAAGGACTTCAGTCTCCAACATTCTTTGCTGTGAGCACTAACTTCATCTTAACCATGGAACTATTTTTTAACTTGTACAAGTAAATGTTTTTTACTGGAACTTCTGTAAGGAAGGTGAGAAATTACTACTTAAGGGTGTACACTGGAATCAATCCAATTTAACATATTATTTTGTGACACTGGTGAACAGAGCTGGTATCTGCATTTGTAGATGTAATCATATTGTCAATATATGTAAGGACCACGGCATTAAAAAGGGATCAGATGATTTATAATATCAGAGTAACAGAAGAGGTAAAACACAATCATTAACATGGAAAGCCATGTAACTTACAATATAACATGCTGAGTTCTGAAGAGTTATAATAAAAAGATGTTAGATTCAATATGAAGTGATTCTGAGAAGAGATCCGAGGATGATTATGAAGATATCCATGATGAGATGACTAGAGAAGAGTTATTTTTGCCTTCAGAAAGAAAATCTGAGAAGCCAAAATGTCCCTGCTGTCTACCCATACAATGTAGCAGGGGAGAGGAAGCAAATATTGAGAAAATGACTTAAAAAGTAACACGAGATCAAAACACTTAAATTGGAAACAACTTTATCTTTGATTAGGAAAAAAGATTTTGAGAGAGGATTGATTAGAATTCCTTTGATTAACCACCAAAGGAATTAAGTTCTGGAACAGCTTTCAAAAGTAGTAGCAATGTATCTGTATTTGTTAAAACAGTCAAATAAGCTAACAAAAGCAACTGTACAGTAGAGTAGAGGTGCTCCAGAGTTGCAGCTGAAGACCTGTGGTATGATGATTTGGGATACTGATGAGCCATTTAGCATGCTCTTCCCATCTGTACAGGATTGAAACAGTAACCAGATACAGATTAAGAATTTTCCTCTGGAGCTGTCAGGCTTTGGATACTGCTTCTGTATTTTTTTCTTTTGTTTTTTTTCTCATAACAAGAGAGTTCACCCAAGATGATCTAAGAATTTTAACCTAATAAATTTCGTCATAACAGGACTTAACATTCACTTTTGGTTTCAGCTGCCACTGGTGTTTTCCTACAACATGTGATAGTTCTTGAACTTTTCAGATGGGATCCCAGATTTACACATCTAAAATTAGATGTGATCAGTAACTGTACTGGTTAGATCTGTTTTGACCTAAGAGTTCAGACATCAGCTCACATATAAACACCTAAATAACAGGTATCAGTCTTAAGCCAAAGTCTATCTTAATTCTATGCATTTCTCTTCTGTCCATTGCTACAAGGGACTGAAATGGGTGACTGAAACCACCTCATTAATTTGCATGTTCCTGTATAGTTCATATTGATACCAAACAAACAGCTAAGGAAAAAAATCTTAACTTTATGGAAACTGCACAGCAATATTCCTAACTTTCACCAGTTTTTATCCAGATGTTAATGAAAATATTCCCCGTAAGTGGTATTTACATGAAAAAATATATTCATTCAATATATATGAACTGATTTGGTCAGGAATCCACTCATAAAGAAAGTCAAACTGGTGGCTGGTAACAGAGCACTTATATGTCATTCTGGGCTACTGTGTACGTAAAAAACATACATCTTTTTAATAAATAATCTAGCATGGGATTTTAATGTTTCTAAGTCTGAAATAGCTTTTACCTCTAAGACTGTTGCCAATCAGAAAAAAAATTTCGATATTAAGAATTTCAAGAAAAAAAGCAAGGAAAAAAAACCCCAATGAATTCTTTACATAAAAAGAAACAGAGTTCTGCAAATAAATCTGAGAAATAGTTACATTGCATGCTCAAGAACAACTAACAGATAATAACTGGAAGTCTTGAAAGCTGAAGAACATCCCAACTTCTAGCTGAATGACTGCAATTTTATCAAAAAAAACCCTTTTAATAAGGCAAGTTTAAAAAAAAACCTGCTATAGGTAGCAAAAAGTCTGACAGCTGCAGATTGCCTCCTATGTTCTCTGCCTTGATCCCAAAAGCCTTAACACTGCTCTTCTGGAGCTTAAGAACACACTCAAAGCTAAAACGTTGTCAGTAGCATCACTGTATTTAAGGTACAAGATGGTCTGCAACACAGAAGACCATTTAGCATGGACACAGCTACCAGACCAAATAGAAAAAAAAATTCCCATACACCAAAACTTCTCTTCTGCAAGAGGGAAAGGAAGTGCAGAAAAAGGCTTTTCCTACTTAGACACTGATGGGGACAAGACTTCTGACTTCTTTTTCCCCTCCAAACTCCCAAGTTAAGCAAAGTATTGAGACAAATAAAAAACTATCTGTTTCCAGGATGGAGATTACAATCTGTTCTTTCAGGTTTAGTTTCCAAAATTACCTCTGAATTCCTTTAACAATGCTTGTGTAGACCACCTAGAGTTTTCCTAGCATGACAAAAGTTTCTTCTGGAGCTTTACATGTAATGTAACAAAATTAAATTAAAAGATGGTAAATACTAAATATAGACTGTCCTAATGCTTATAATTCTTCAGTGCTTTTCCTTGGTAATTTTTCATCTATTTTTTTCATAAATAAAATAAACCTAAAATATTTTGATATTTCAACAGATTAAGTAAGTCTTAGTCACGTAACAGTAATGAGTTTCATACAGGAATACAATGGTTTAAAGAACAAGGCAAGGTTCACAAAGTGGCTAGATGCAACTATTCCCAGATCCAAAATATTTACATCAAGGAAAGGATTTTAACTTAGAGAAAAGTAAGCTTTCATTGGAAGTAATTTAGTTTAGTTTTCCTGCACTGAAATAAAAAATTAAAGCATTGGAAATTATCACATCAGCTTTGCTTACCATTTACAACAACTGGTATGTCTAACCTTCTGTAAAACACTAAGGTAAAAACATAAAAAATACATACACAGTTAAGCAAAAGCACAATTAAAATGTTTTGCGACCATTTACATGACATAAAATTTACCAGCTGATAAAATTCACAGTAACTTAAAATTACCTTTTTTCTAACTTTTGCATATAAAAAAGTTAACTAGTTAATTTAAAACCAAATATTTAAACCCCAGTGTCATTCCCATGAAAAACCACTGTACTTTGGCTAGTACATTTGCAGGATCATGAATAGACTGATATATAGAATTTTATTTTTTTTTTTAATTTCTCCTCGTGGTCAGTAGCTCCCAAATATCTTGAGGGAAGCATGGTATTTAAAATATATCAAAGTACAAAGATCATTACTTACAATTAGCTGTTTCAAGCCTACAAATGACTGTTCTACAGAGTTGGCGTTTAAAACTTGTCTCTTCACTGCAGCTTGCTCCCCCAAGAAACGAAGCATTAAGTCTTTTACTGCATCTCCCTTGGTGTTCATGGAACAGAAAAAGAAGAAACATAACAGGATACTTTTAAACATTATTTTAGGAGAATAAAATGTTGAATTAAAGCTAAGCAACATAGTTTCTCCCCTTGAGAAATACTTATTTTCCAGTACTTTTTGTGTGAAATTAATACAAATTCATAGATATCTACACCATTTTAATGAAAACTTCCAGATTGACTCTACATTATTTTCTATGTTCTTTTTTCCAATGTTTAGGTTTCAGTTAGCATAGAAACATTCAGGCTTATCTGCTTCTCCTATATTATTCGTCAAAGAACTTACAAAATGCTTCTCAAAAATCTTACAAAACATAGTAAGTTTTACAGGTTTTCATGAGTATTATTGTTGAAAGGTGCAATCTACAATCAAAGCTAAATGTGCACATAATCAGCTAGCCTTAAGTACGCACAGAAGATCAACTTTGAGAGATCATAAAACCAGGTAAACAGCAACCCTGCAACAAGTATTCCTAATTTCAAAGAATTAACCGCAGAAATCAGTCAGAGGAAATTGGGTTATCTGAGATCAGTGATTTGAAGACTTGAGACTCCTTGAGAAGCAGAAAGAGTTTTCTGAAGTTAGACAAGATTAATTCTACATTTCACAACATGGAACAGCTAAGAAGAATGTTCAAATCCAGGTTCTATTTCCAGCTTTGCTAGCAATAAACAGAATAACTGTATATGGCACCTCTGTGTCTCAGTTTCCCCTTCTAATCTTTGTTCAGCTATCAATTTCTGTGCCTTCCCATTTGTTGGCTGACATCCTTGTGGTTCTGTGTACTAGAGATTTTCAACAGGCAACCAAGAACTTCAAGCTTAATATCAAGCACCTACTGAAAAACTGTGGACCATGCATTGCCAGATGTTGAAAACTGTGCTTCTACTGCCTGCACACTCTTCAGGTACCATGTCTGACAATACAGCCTAGGACAGGGTGCGGGGGGGAGTGTCCTAGTCTTGCCTGGCCTGTATCCATTACTGTATACAAGGGAATCCCCCATGGTGTCAGAAGTCACCATGTGACAAAAGCAGGTAACAGAAATTATTTCTGTAAGATTTTTGCTAGTCTTATGTTTTTACTCTAGAAAAGCAAACATCTGAAAATGAGGAAAATTATCAGCAATATACAATACTTATCTTTTGTTTTTTAAACAGAAAGCAATTTATAATCCACATTCAGCCAGAGTAGAGATCTGTCTCATTCACCATCCTGTCAGTGAACAGCAGATGTTCATGAAAATAGTGTAAGAAACAGGATATGCTCATAGTGGTCTTTCCCAGTTTAAAGCAACCAGAACTTTATGGTCCACCTATGCTCATTTTTAGTCTGTTTTTCTGAACAAAAGTACATCCAAGGGCAGTTAAATCTACAACTTAAAAAAAACAGTTACATGGGCTGCAGAACAGTAACGCCTTTTGTTATGCTTATTATTCAACAGCTCCTTTGCTATAAAAAAACCTCAGCAAATCATAATCCTCTCCTTAACTTGATTCTTTTATGAATTTTAGATCATTATTTCTCTTGTAAACCAAACGGTTCTCTTCCTTTTAGATACACCTCACAAGAGATAACCTCTGCACTCCTTACTATCCCTCCTCTCCCTGCAATTTGTTTTAATTCCATTGTATCTTTTCAGATTTGTGGTAACTAGAACAAATGTTCAATATTTAAGAAGGTAAAGCAGAAAGTGACTATGCAAAAATGTAAGCATACAAAGGAATATTTACAAAAATCCCTCTAAAGGAACATGAAAACATTCACTTGAAGAACTGAGGTAGCAAGCTGTTAGCACAGAAAGCAGGAAGAAAGCCACAGAGCCTTTTGCCTAAAAAAAGAGGTGAGCTGCATAAAACACCGTAAAGCTTAGCTATAAGAAAGATAATTGAGGTTAAATGTTTGCCCACAGACAGTGATGGGAAATACGTTTGTGTTTTCTGTCTTTGTGTTTTCTGTCTGAGGAATGAGACTGCAAATTATTGTTTCACTACATAGAAAATTTTTACCTGTAAACACTGTCACTTACCCTATGAATAAACAAGATTTTCACATTCAGATGGAAGAGTCCGAAGATTAAGAAGAGACAGAATGTGCAAAATGACATAAATACTAAAGAATTTTTAATCCCCCCCAGAACATTTTGGAGAAGGAAACATTAAAAATGAATGTAATGAAACAAAGGGCATAATGACAGCAGACAGTAACTGATGAAGAAAGGCATAATGGAAAGAACATATAAAGCAGTACTCCAACTTGTTCCCACACTTGGAGAGCACAGGTACAAATAATCTGTACCATATTCAGTCCAAGATAGTTTAAAAAAATGTTTCTTGAATGATCAGCAAAAAGTATCATGCAGCTAAAATCAAGAACATTTTATCTTTTTCTTGATGAGCTTTTAAAACAACACACTTGTAATAATAACTGTGTTCAGGTTTGGTCCCTGCCATAGAAAAAAATGTGGACAAGCTGGAGAGGGTCCAAAGGAGAGCCACAAAGATGATCAAAGGACTAAGAAGCCTGCTGTGTTAAGAAAGGCTGAGAGAACTGGGTTTGTTCAGCCTACAGAAGAGAAGGCTTAGGGGAGACCTTACCACCATGTTCCAGTATTTAAAGGGTGGGTACAATAAAGATGGAGACTCCCTTTTTACAAGGAGTCACATGGAAAAGATAAAGGGTAATGGGTAAAAGTTACTCCTGGGGAGATTCTGACTGGACACGAGAAAAATGTTTCCCAATGAGAACAATCAGCCATTGGAATAATCTCCCCAGGCAAGTGGTGGGTGTCCCAGTATTGAACATTTTTAAGATTCAGCTGGACAGAGTACTAGGACATCCTGTCTAGACTGCGCTTTTGCCAAGAAAGTTTGGACCATATGATCCTTGAGGTCCCTTCTAGCCTGGTATTCTATGACTCTAGGATACACTTTCTGAGTGAGCAGAGGAAAAAAAACAGTACTGAGCTCTTCAATACATCATACAAAATTTCAGTCGTTCACTGAAGCACTTACAGTTCACTGTAAACGCTTTTTCAACTAAACTCTGTCAACTGCACACAGCCTGGTTTAACATCTTGCATTAACATTTAGCATTAGCAAGCTATTCATACCAAAGCTTTAATGACCATTGTAGGAAGCTGATTTAAAGTTAAAAATATGCCTCCCACAATGTTTCAGTTGACATTTCAAGTACTCTAAAATTATAATTTCAGGTAAATACACAATTTGCAGTACTAGAAGTGCATGGAACAATGATAGCAAACTAGGGGATGTCAGGTCAGTCAGGGCATGCACTCAGGACACTGAAAAGCAGTAACTGGAAGTGAGGAAACTTGTATAAACATAAAGCACTTCAAAACTTGTCCCCACTGACATGCCTGTGTGACTGCTTAGAAATTATAATCAATGCAGAAAGCATCAGGAATACTCTTTAATTCCACTAATGATTTTAAATCAGTTCTTACTGTGGAAATACATCACAATGGACACTGGTGTAACATCTCATTTTCAATTATGTACTAAATGGTAGATCTGCATATATGCATGTGCCCAGATTCATGGAATCATCAGCACAAACAAGCCTTTAATCCTTGACTGGACTGAGGAAGGTGAGAGAAAACTATTTGTGAAAAAGGAGGCCTGCAATAAGGAGGCCCTTACCCCTGGGACCAGCAGAAGTGATCATTCCCTCCATCCATCCCATTAGCTGTCAGAGGAGAAATACTACACACTCTTGAATTACTTCTCAAGGTCTAAGAGATTTTTTCGGGAAAGTGGGAAGGACCCTTCCATTCTTTTGGGAAGGAGTGGAGAATAGGAGCTTCCTATTACAGTGCTTTCTTTCACACCAATTATTGGGCTCTGTGAAGACAAATAAGTGTTTTAAGATAAATCTAACCCAAGAAGTAGTAGGAGCATGACATATGTCTAAAACTGGTATCATTTGTTGCTTGTGACAGAAACCTAAGATTAGATTATATTAAAAGAAAAACTCTTTACTGAGGGTGGTGAGACTGGAACGGGTTGCCCAGAGAAGCTGTAGCTGCCCCCTCCCAAGGCCAGGTGAGATGGGGCATTGAGCAACCTGGTCTGGTGGAAGGTGTCCCTGCCCATAGCAGGAAGTTGGAACCAGATGATCTTTAAGGTCCCTTCCAACCCAAAACATTCTATGAGATTTGTCAGATAGTTCAGCTACAGATCTGGACCTGATTCACTATAGAAGCTTTTCTGACAGTTCCTGCAGATTGGGAAGTTATTGGAGACTGCTCTCTGCTTGTATTTGACTATTGACTGATAATCTTTGTTATGCTACAATTAAGGATTAAAGCAGCCAAACCGTCAACACCGTATCTCTAGACAATTCTATTATCCAGAGACACAGATACAAAAAAGTAGGACTAGCCTGTGTCAAAAAACAATCCATTACAATAGTTAGCCTTGCCCTGTGCAGCCAGGATAAAATTGCCCCATGAGAAATACTGAACAGAGCCCAGTGAAATTCTCAAATTCTGAAAAAACTTTTTATGCCTTCTCACCAATTGGGAACTTTGACAGAAGACAAAGAAATGATTTTTCACTATGTTTTTTTCCTCCATGATCTCATATGGAGATTTCCCTTTAATTTTGGGATTACCCATTCCCAGTAGCTTGCTCTAGCTCTCAATCTTTCTTGGAAGTCCTATCTTTCCAGTGCTTAAGGAAGATACAAATGATGTAATTTCAGTCAGTGTTAACATTATTGAGAGCACTGTGAACATCAATGAAAAATGTTACTTCCCACTTGCTTGCAACAATGAATTCCAGAAGCAATGAAAGCTGTCTGCTTTCAGACTTTGTAGTACAGCATATTAATTTTGTATATATTCCAAATGTATTATCTTACAAACTATGAGGACCAGAAACAAACTACTTAAAAATACAACCAGTTTAGTATTCTATGGAAGCTGTCAACACGGGCTTTCAACAGACCCAACAAATTTCACTATGAATAAATCAAATGTGGTTTTAGCCCCTTCATGTATAAGTAGGCAGCAACATTAAATTTTCTAAGGATTGAAGTAATACACATAAGGTGACAATCAGCAACAATATGAAGCACTATGATACATAGATAATTGGATAGCTCTTACATAATATTTCTAAAATAGTCATACACTAAGATACAATAATAGATTCTTACCTGGATATTATCAAATTTTAATCCAGGCATGGTGAGATTCTCTTTATCTATAAACACCGTGCTGTACTGTTGTGTGGCAACCGAAATGAGAACATTTCTGGTTTCCTCACTAGGAAGCCAAGCATCATTTCTTCTATCTAGTTCACTCATATTTAAGGCTGTGGCAAATGGGTCATCACTCCCAGCAAAAACAGCTTGGATTTGTGAGAACGGCTGGGGGGACTGAGTTATTTCTACAGATGATGGAGGACCACCTGTTTCAGGTCTCCCATTTCGCACAGAGAAAGCAGGGTTAGGTGAAGCACAAGAACTATCTCCACCATTAGAAAGAGAAGACATTTGTTCTGGAACTGAAGAGCTTGCATTTGGATTACTAACAGAAATAAAATTGGATGTGGTAAATGAATCAAAAAAATCAGAAGCTAAAGTATTAGTGTTAACAGTATCGCCAAAGAACTTGCTTAGACTCGGACTTGGTTGAACCACCTGTGGATTTGACTTCACTGGAGTCTCAATTATACTACTAAAACTGGGAGATTTTACCATCTGAGGCTCAAAACCATCAGGTAGGAACAACTGTGGTTGGGTATTAACATTGTTTGCTTGGCTGAAGATGGTACAAACAGGAATAGGCTCAGCCTCAGAAGATGATTTGCTGGTACTAGGTGACAATGTCTCGTCCTCAGGTTTGCTTTCATCAGTATTATTAGGCTTTGTTTCAACCTGAACATTGTTTCCCAACTTTGGTTCCTCCTTCACTGCTTCCTGAATTGATTCTTCCTGATCATCTGTTCCAATCTCAGAAACATCTTTGGGGGTTTCTTCGTGTTCAGTTTCACTTCCATTACTTAAAAACTCTTCTTTATCCATTTCATCTTGTGTTTTTTGATTATCTTTAGCTTCCATCTGCTCTACAATCTCCTGGAGACAACCAAGTTCACCTGTGTCATCTTCACTGTTGTTTGGAGAATCAGAAATAATTACACTCTCCATCATTTGTTCATTAAGTTTATCTACAAAGTTATTTGAATCTTCTGATACAGTTTCATTCCCTTCAGACTCAAATTCATCTCCACCAAGATCAATGGTTTCCTCATGGAAGAGAATTTCCTCACGAGTTTTCTGCTGAACTATGTCTCCACTATCATCTTCATCGGAGGTGCTCTTCGCATCCTTATCTTTAGTTTCGTTATTCTCCATGGCAGCTGAAGAGGGAAAAATCCCCACCAAAACAAGTATTAGTTTTATCACTAAGGTAATGTCCTGGTGTCACCCTAAAACTCTTAATTATCACAGAAATACTAAAATTTTTGCTTTAAAATATAGTAGTTTCACAAGTTGACATCTTTCATTTAACATATGTCCACAGAATAAATAAATTCTGAAAGTTTTCTCTTTATCCTTTCAGCAAGTCGCAAAAATATTCGGATAAAAGAGGGCACCCCTCCCCCTAAACACAGACAAAACGATGTTTGCTTTTCTGCTCGCAGAATCTAGCTCGGTCCCCATTTAAGAAAAGGAAAGAACGCGTTTACAGCTGCCACCGGTGCAGGCTGCGGAGCCCGGGGCCGGCGGCGCAGCGCCCTGCGACAGCCGCACACGCTGCGGAGCGGCAGCGCTTCCGTCCTCGGCCGCCGCCCGCCCCTCAGCCGCGGGCTCCCAGGGA